ACTTCACTATAAATTACGCTTACATAACTTAAATACTTCTAAAGTATTTGACACGTGAAAATTAGATTATATTTTGATTAAATTCGTATTATTTAAAAAACATTAAGATTTAGGTGTTATAAACCTTATTAAAACATACACTTATTTTGTTCAGCGAATCCAAAAATGCAATAATATACAGGACATTCCATTTAAAAAAACGCAACTTTGATACCTTTAGAGCTATTGGGACACCCTGTACATTACGAAAATATTTTTAAAATGTGCGCTCGGTAGGCGTCGGACAATTCATAAAATAATACTTTTTAAAAATCAAACGGTTTAGCCGCAAACTTCTGTACCGTATAGCGTGAATAACCCTGTCTTTCGAATTTCACTTCAATCGGCTGAAATACTCAACATTATTCTAAGCGAATGAATCCTAAACCCCCATACCTTCAGATGCAATTTGGTCCACTCCCCAAAAAGTGAAGTTCCTTTCATGCGACGCCCCAATTATGTCCGAAAAATGCGTCAGCCACAATGAGAACGGAAAGTCCTTCGGATGAGTCTGTTTGGACCAAAGCCCTTCGAAGATCATCTGAAATAGTCCAGATCCAGACCTGGTTTGGACTGTATATTTCATCTTAAGTTACACTGTATTTGGCTTCTTCGCAGGCACAGCAATCGTTCTCATCGAACTTGATGTCTTTATCAGTTTGCTCGCAGAATGTTTTGCTCAGACGGCCATCGTCCGCAAACCAGCGCTCCGCATTCTCCAACACCATGGCCCTAAGAACGCGAGGTGGGGCAAAATTGCAAAAAATCGTACAAACCCTTACCTGAAAGTAACGCATCCAGAGCCCGGCGGGGGCGCCGCCCACATAAAATAAGTCTCAGTTTTGAGGTTGGCATTTTTTTCGGAAATCGTGTTAACGCACTCTTCATTGAACGTCGTGTGATTGTCGCCGTACAGTTGAAAGCTGCCGACATTTTGTGGAGAAATATTCTCCGGATGTTCGGTGGATTCCACGTTTACAATGAAGCGCTGGAACTGCTGGACTCTGCCCAACACAGTCGGCCCCATCAGGAGCACTAAAATGCCTCAAAGCTCAAACAACCGCGTTTGGCAGGCTTCTGAAGCTACTTACAAGTGTATAGTTGTCCAGGTACATATTTGGCAGGATTATCATTGATCTGGATCTTGTATCCATTATCACCTGGCGTTTTGTCGTGGCGCGATTGGTAGATACTGGGAATTCGGGGACATTCTCCCATCACCTGCTGATAGCACAGGACCAGCAGCAACGCCTTCATCAGCATCCTGCTGCCGTTAATCAACCGCACTAAGTGACCACTTTGTTTTCTCTGTTCGCTTTATCAAAGTTGCCTTCACTTGACCCGGGCTATCAACATTATCCCGGTTTCCTGATTATTTCTAGACGCAATCTCTTTCGCCATACAACGTTGGATTCTTAAGACGAATTTGAACAAAAACTCAGTTGCAGTAATAAAAAATTGTTTTATTTCCTGATTCACATGGGAGGCACAGTCTTAAGGGGCCAAACGGGATTTTAAACAACCTGAACAATTCAAATAAACGTTTGGAAACTCCAAAGCAGAATCTGGATAAATTGCGCAAAATTGACATAAAAAAAAACTATTTTCGTACAAGATTATCGTTGTTTTACCTCTAGAACGTCAGTATGGGGCCCTCTCTGTGGTCCAGGATATCTGGAACAAAATCATTGTTTGAAATAAAATAATCAATAAACAAAGTTTGGTTGTAATAAAAACGAATTATAAAAAAGCTTTGAAACTCGACCCCAAAGGCGACGAAAATGTAATTTTTGCCCCAGTACGAAATACCCATGAAACGGGACATTCGAATATTGGAAATTTTTTGGTCCTTTCTAGATTGAAAACGGCTGCAAATATCGCAATCGTAATTGCCATTGTGGAAGATAATTTAATTCGCTATAATTTGGCATAAAAAAGATAAACCTCTGAGTAGGGCTTTGCCCTTTTCCAGACACTTGAGGGTTGAAAAACCGTTTTTTTTAAGACGCCCCAAAAAAGTCAATCGCACGTAATTCAAAATCTCAACCAACAACCTACATTTTATTTTAATTCTGAACATTAAGCCACCACAAGTGCCTATTGTACTAAATAATTCTTGGGGCTTGTTTAGGCCTTTGCCCTCTTAAAGGGCCTTCAAAGTTTTAAAAGTGGCATATCTCCGATACGGTTGCTGATAGCTCGAAAGCCGTAAGGACTTTTTCTCTAGAGCGTCTCCAAGACTACATTTTGCTGAATAGGTTTGATTATAAAATTCTATCCTTTAAAAAGATAGAAGCAAAAATGTGGAAATAAATGCGCGTGCGGATGTTTAAAATAGAATAGCACCCAAAATTTTTTTTTTAAACTAAAGACTTTTTGATTGCCTGCATCGAGCACTATATTCTATCATATATGTGGTTTGATCAGAAATTCCAAACCTCTAAAAAGAAAGGCAAAAATAGGAAATCCAGTTTTAAAATACCGCATTTCTTGGACTATGTCTACAATATTTGATGAGTCATAGAAAACATTTAGATAGAGGGTGTTGGATGTCACTCAAACTTTCTAACCTCTAAAGAAATTAAAGCAAAATTAACAATTTTCGGGGTTTCCACAGCTTAAAACACCCAATATCACATCAAAAAAAGGCAAAAACAGTGCATATCTGGGAAACGGAAAAAAATACCTTGTATGTTACAAGAACCATTTCGATAGGGCGGTTTGAAAGCTATCTCTCATCGATATGAGCTGCATTAAATTTATAACCTCAAAAGGGATAAAACAGGAATTTGATGATTTTTGTCAATTTTCACTTATATCTTGCAAAAACGGTGCATATCTGGAACACGCTAAAACACATATAATTAGTCATACGAACCATTTCGATAGAGCGGTTTTAGAGCTATTTGTAATCAATACAAGTTGCCTTAAATTTCTAACCTCAAAAGAGATAGAAAGGAAAGTTGATGATTTTTGCCTATTTTCACTTTTACCTTGGAAACGGTTGAAGCTACCTGAAATATTGGTAGAACTTTTTTGATCAGGCATCTTACATACCATCTTTCACTCTCTCAGTTTGTCCATAACTTTCTAAACTCTTAAAAGATAGAAGCAAAAATATGAAATTTTTGGTGTCACCGCAGCTTAAAACCCCAATATCTTCGAAACCAGTAAAAATATCCCATCAGCCACTATGATCTTTTTGATAGCGCGTATAATATAAAACTGTATTGCACTTTTGGGGTTTTATGCGAAATTCTTAACCTCTAAAGAGACAGAAGCAAAGAAGGCAAAAACAGTCCATATCTGGAAAACGTGAAAACATATATAATTGATCATCCGACCCATTTCGCTAGCTTGGTTTGAGCGCAATCTCTAATCATTAGAAGTTGCTTAAAATTTCTAACCTCAAAAGATATAGAAAAGAAAGTTGATGATTTTTGCCTATTTTCACTTTTACTTTGAAAAAGGTTGAAACTACCTGAAAAATTGTTAAAACGTTTTGATCAAGCACCTCAAAAACCATTTTTCACTTCATCAGTTTTTCTATAAATTCCTAATCTCTTAAAAGACAAGCAAAAATATGAAATTTTTGGTGTCACCGCAGCTTAAAACCCCAATATCTCCGAAACCAGCAAAAATATCCCATCAGCCATTATGATCTTTTTTATAGCGCGTATTGAGTACTGTATTGCACTTTTGAGGTTTTAAGCGAAATTGTTAACATCTAAAGAGATAGAAGCAAAAAAAGGAAGAAACATTGCATATCTAGAAAACGACACAAATTATCTAATGTGTCATAAGAATCATTTCAATAGGGTCGTTTCATACCTATCTCTAGTCCATATCAGTTTCATTCAATTTCTAACCTCAAAAGAAATAGAGCAAAATGTTGATGATTTTTGTCTATTTTCACTTACATCGTGCTAACCGTCGAAGCTACCTGAAAAATCTGTGGCACCGTTTCGATCAGGGACCTCAGAAACTATCTTTCACTCATTTAGTTTGCGCAAAAATGCTTAACCTCTAAAATGATTGAAGTTTCACCAAAGTTTAAAACCAAGTCAAAAACGAGCAAAAAAAATCAAATGATCCATTATGACCTTTTTGATAGCTCGTCTCAAGAGCTATCTTTTACTAATGGGGTTTGTACCGAAATTCCTAACCTCTAAAAAGATGGATGCAAAAATGTAAAATTTTAGATGTCACCGCAGCTTAAAACTCCCAATATCTCTTAAGCGAGCCAAAAAATCCAATGTTTCGTTATGACCTTTTTGATAGCTGTCTGAAGAGCAATATTTTACTAATTGGGTTTGTAACGAAATTCCTAACCTCTAAAAAGATACAAGCAAAAGTATCCAACTTTCCCTCCCTGGACTACTTGACAAATATTTTCATCAAAAATCGAGAAAAGCAGTGAATCTTATTACCTTTGGCTATGCTCCACCATGGCAGGGTAACGTAAGTGAGAAAGGCATTTAGTGGTACGGATTGCGCCCTCTTATTCTCCTTCCAAAAGTGAAAAGTCTGCGTAAAACCTCTCATCGTCCATAGAGGATTGTAGGCGCCATCGCCTAGTTCTGCAACAGATAATTCCAAAGGCCATTAAAAGTTGGAAAGGAACACAGAGAAAATAACAAAAAACGCTAAAAAACCTTTACCGTTTAGATGTTTTTTGTTAATGTCGCACCAGTAGTAAATGCTGGTTCCATCAGGAGTGACTCGCTTCGGAGGAATGGCATTCTTATGGCTGGTTTTGCTTGTGGGTTTCTTCGCGTTCTTCGGAAGAGTGCAGTAGGAGTAAATCTGCTTGACTGAAGATACCTTATTGGAGTTACCATCAAAGTTTCTGTTGGCTCTTGTGTGAGTTTCCTCTTGTTTATTATTGTCCAGACAGTTGTTTAGTTCCTCAGTCTTAATGTTGATGTTCTTATTGAGTTCTTTCGATTGCATTTTCCCGATTTCCTCCACACATGGCAACTCCTCCTTGCCATTGACCGTAACATACGGATTCTCGGTGGTGCTTTTTTCAATCGACGTATTGCTTTTAATACTCGCCCTGCTCGGAGGCCGCTCCTCAAAACTCTCCGCATTCAAACTGATCGCATCATCAGCAAACTCAAACTCCGAACTGTACTTGTTCGGTTTCCCTTTGGCATCCTTGACAATTTTCAATTGCTTGCACTTTTTCTTCGACTTCTCCTTGCCCACTTCGTACTCGGATTGATTCAGCAGACTGTTCACATGCGGAGTACAGACGCACTTGTGCTCGGGCGGCCCCAATGGGGCCTTGAGGGCGCATTTTGAGGGATTGACGCAGGGCGGTCGATCATACATTTCAAGCAGAATGATGGAACCTCGCTTTCTTCGTCGGAAGCAGCCGCAACAGCTCGATTTGGAGGTAGAAGCAGGACCAGTCTGGCCTATAACAAGCAAAAACTTGATTGGGATTTGGGTTAGTTTGGGTCGGTTGCAACATGAGAACTGTATGAGGGTGTTTTTGACTAAATATGGCAACTACATTGAGGCGAAGGAAATTCGTGATCGCCAAGGTCCTGCTTCTACTCCCTTAGTAGTAAGAAAACATGTACAAGCAAAGTTGGCATGCAATGCGGTGAGTGGTAATGTGGGTTTCTGAGGATTTCAGATGAAAATCATGCAACCCAAGTGAAAAATCATGCTGGCGCCATACGGGCCAATTTTAGTATTAAAACGCCCGGAAAATGTGTGCTTATATAACATCTATATAATCAAAAAGTGTTAATCTAGGCAGAGGAGCCAGACATTTTCTCTTATTAAAAGTTAGATCCGATCGACTTACGGAACACCCTGCATAATCGAAGAGAAAATCTTATAAATCTACTTTGCTAGTTGGTACTTACCATCTCTTAGGTCGCCAGCTTCGATCTCACTGAAACCATTATCCCAGTTGTCCAGACCCTCGCTTTCCGATCTCGCCTTCACGTCCAGCTTCGTCCTCCAACCGCCTCTCACAAAATTGTTAATATTGGCGCTCGGATCGCTCAGTCTTCTTTGGGAGCGGTACAGACAATCGTCTTGTTCATCCTGAAACAAGCCAGAAAGTTCAGTGATTTCTTCACTTATTTGAATAGTTTATTATGGTCACCTCCCAGTCGGAATCCCACATATCAGTGGCGCAGAATCCCGGCTCAGAAGTGGGCGTTTCCACTCCTGAGCCTTTGGGCTTGGTGACCGCCATTTCCGCGTGGCCTTTGCCCTGTGGGCCCTTCATTCGCACAAATTCACATCGTTGGGCAGTGGAATTCGAAAATAGGCCAAACGTCATTTTTTGTGCCATTTTTGT